CCAATAGCTGCCTAAGCTATTCAACAAGAAAATATTGAGACTAGTTTCTTAAATTCCACTTCTCTTGAGGGACAGGTCCTTAACTCTTAGTCATAGAGATGAAGAGTCATAAGCAGCAGCTCCCAGCCTCTTCTCTGGCTCTGTGCCTGTTCTGAGTTTTAAAGAAAAAAATCAGTAAATGAGTGGATGTCACTCTTTGAATGCACAGCTAAAGGAAGGGGGGTTACAAAGACTGAACCCACACAGAATTCCACACACTTTCAGGATGTGGGAAACAGCTACTATTCCACGTCAGAGGATTCACATAGTCCTTGTTCACTTTCTGACTGGAAAACCTAGCCAAAGGCCTGTCGATAACTCTCTAGCAGTCTTTCTGCAGCAGTGCTACGTAAGAAAGAAAGTCTACATTCACAGCAACAGAGAGAAGGAGCAGTAGAAACCTGTCAAGATGATTACATAAGAGAAGCTGCCTTGTGCCCGTTTCTTCCTCAAAGCTATGGTCGTATATTTTCCATTAAATGGTTAGATAAAAAAGTTAAAATTCATGTATTTTTAACTTTTGTTTTATTTTGGTTATTCCTACTGAAAGAGAAGGCATTTTAGAAGCCTAATGGTTGAATTTTTCCTTTTTCTGCAGGGATCAAACAGAACGACCTAATGAGTTCAGGATTTACTAAGAATTATTTAAGAACTTTAGCAGACCTGGAGAAACTCTAAAGGAGACAAAGACGGTAAAAATCTGTGAAAGACTTCCACGTGAGGACTAGGAGCATGGATTTGTAATCCTGAAAAAAAGGTTATGGTGGGGCCTATAGCAGAAGCCTGTACAGACAAGGGATGAAGCTGAATGGGTTAAAGTTATTAACTGTTCCTTATAAGGAATAATGAGGCATAAACTGAAGGAGTAGTTGTTTAATGTAGTTAATCTGAATAAATAATTGCCAAAGGATGGTCCAATGCAGCCTGTGCAAGAGATATTTTTTTCAAAACCAGATAAATGGCTCTTTTTTTTTACCTTGCACTTGTAGGTAATTGACAGAACATTTCAGTAGGAGTGCTATGGTTATCAGTCATTCCTATCTTATCAGCAATTGAATTTTTCTTAGTGAGGCCTCTTTTGCTTTCTTTACAAAGAAAGATGTTCCTAGAAAAGCAAGGAGCAAAGATTACAGCATTGCACTGTTTGAGACCTGGCTTGAAATTAATCACAGCTCCCAAACACATATTCAATGGGGTACCTGTCTGTTTACTTCCCTCAGCACATGAGAATGGGCTTGATTGCACAAGAGAGCTCTGTAACACTTCTTGAGAGAGGGAAATAATGCTTGCTCATAGGAACTGCTTCTTGTGGCTTATCCAGAGACACAGCACAACCTCGAGCTAATGCCTGAGGAACTACAAGTCTACTCTCAACACACAGTGTCTCCATCTGCTGATTGTTAATAGAGATTTTCATATCCTTTTGCATAACCTGGTGGAGAGCACACTGCTGATGCTGTGACAGATGGATGCCTGCTTCAAAGTGGGAAGCAGATCTTTTGTTAGCTCTAGTCTCTAAGTACAACATCGCCTAGCAACTATGGGAAATGAGGAAAAGCCATCAGAGAACATTTCACCTGCTGCAGCTCGGGTTTACACTGTTGTGGCTTTTTAAATTTATGTAAGTATGTATGTATGTATGTATGTATGTATGTATTTATTTATTTATTTTAACAGCAACTATCCCAGTTTAACCCTGTGTAACACAATATTAGTTGATTTATGTCTTGTCACCATAAAAGCCAATGATGTTCTTAGAGGAGGAGTGTCAGGACATTTCCAGAGAAGAGCACTGTTTCACTGATTATGAAGAAATTCAGACCCAGTAGTAAATGAAATGGAAAAGATCCTTTTCTGTTTGTCTCTTCAGCTTTGTTCTAAATCTTCATCATAAGGAGCCACTAGAACTACATGCATGCCAACATTAAGCCCACTATACTCCAAAGATGCATTAACATGGCAGCATTGCTGTTATTCCTCCAGAGAAGAGCACTGTTTCACTGATTATGAAGAAATTCAGACCCAGTAGTAAATGAAATGGAAAAGATCCTTTTCTGTTTGTCTCTTCAGCTTTGTTCTAAATCTTCATCATAAGGAGCCACTAGAACTACATGCATGCCAACATTAAGCCCACTATACTCCAAAGATGCATTAACATGGCAGCATTGCTGTTATTCCTCTTATCACTTGTAGCAACACTTAGTTCTCTTTCCTTCTTCTTGTTCTTCATAAGAGATATTGCAGAGTATGAGGTGAAATTCAATGATGACTAATTCAGAGTTTACTTCCCCAGAAGATTCTAGGTTAAATAACTTCACATTGGCAAGAACCCAGATAGCAAATAACTTTGTTAGTGCTTTTATACCAGCAATACCAAACTCTTTCACATATCCTTGAATGTGAAATCATAGAGATCTTGAACTGCTGCCTGAGTTATCTATCACTGCTCAGCTAGATTTCCTCTATGTACTGCTTTACTAAACTGATAACTCCAGGACATGTTTTATGTAGCATTGACTTGCTAGAAAAAAACATCTTTCTCTGTATATGCATGTAAGAGGAAGACAGAGACAGAGGAATTGCATATGGTCTTCTATGATAACTAATGTGTATTTAAACTGTTGAGAAAAGGAGACTCTTCCCCCCCAAAGTATTTGCTTTTTCTATATATGCCTAGGGAATATGTATTCTAAATTGGACCAGAATAAGCTCTAGGCTGAGCACTCTAGTACGAGCTGCAGCAGTGTTGGTTAGCTGAGCCCTCCAACATCTGAACCTTTCTGTTACTGCAGCTGGAGGCCAAGTGAGATAGCACAGAGCACATCAAGTGACATCAGCCTGCCCTGGCAGACAAATGCAGAGCCTCCTTTCATCTCTGCATCTAGTATAATGTAGGGAGTTCTGACAAAGTTTCTATTTGCATATGATATAATGTCAATCATCTCATCAGTGCTCTACCAACATCTAAGCCAAGGCATACAAGTTAGTGCTGTCCTGCTGGCTTCAGTCTGACTTCCACCATTTCAGAGCCACTAAGCAGCAAACTTCAAGCACATGCAGCATTTTGCTTATGGAAAACAAACTCTGCTTTGCTATGAAGCAGTCAAATCAGTAGGCAAATAACACTGGGTTTCAGCATGTTCTTAATATTTCTAAATATGAAGTACATTTGAAAATAAGAATGCTTAGCACTTTCTGGGCAGGGCAGCACAAGCTCTAAATAAAAAGGCATTGTACATTGCTGTGCCTACACTGGAAGCACATCTGTGACTGCTGTGTGGTACATAAACACCCACGCTAATGCTAAACCTGAATCAACTGGGTTATTAATAACAGCACAACTGGGTCAGCAATGTATTGAGTGCACACTGGTTTATCTTGTTTCCTGGGTAAATTTACAGCCTGTACTAAGCTTTACACAGTTGTAACTAGACCACTACTGAACACGAATTAGGTGATACAAAGCTTATGCACATAATCTCTTCACTATAGTTATTGAAATACCAAGATTCTCTAGATTTGTAATGTTTAGATCAATCAAAAAGGATGCTAAAGCTTATATCTGGATTCAGGGGCCTAAGCTTCTTGATTTGGTCTCAAAAATTAGAAATTTTGTAAAACCTGCTCGGCTTGGCAGATGCCTACCATAATGGATGAAATCCTTAACAAATGTGGTTTCTGTTATATCTTTACCTAAAGGGAAAATAAAACCTTTTTAGATTAGAGCTTGTTATGAAACAAGTGAGAGAGGTTTTTGGTGCACTATCAGATCTCAGAGGTGTGATGTTAGTAGGCTGTATAGCCAGCCTTACCAGCTGCCTCCTTCTGTATCAGTCTTTATAAAGTGCCAGCTCTGATTGACTGACGTATTGCAATATTGAGTATTACACCATCTAACTTCTAGGCACCTAAACCAGTTAATGGACTTGATACCAGATTGGCAGCTAGTCATTTTGTATTTGTGCTGAATCATTTGATTAGAGAAGTCGACACTCTGCATGAGATGCTCACTCAAAGTAGGCAAAGTCAGGCTCCTTTTCAAAACTTAAATACCTTATTATGGCCTGGAGAAAGGATTTACAAGCTGAAACACTTTCCTGAAGGTGGTCCTAAGTACTTTTCTCTCAGCAGATGAATGATGATCTCCTTCTACCAATGCTCTAGGTTAAGTTCTCACTGCCAAGCCTCTAGTCTAGTCTTTGTTCTTCCTAAGCAGATTGGTGGTCACGTTTTCTTCCTTTCTAAGAGCTTTTCTGCTAGCAGGCTGCAGCATACTCAGTTCTGTACAGCAGAACTAAAATAGTCTTGGAATTTTTTTTCTAGAAATATAGCATCTGAAGATTTGTGATCTCCTCCTCTTCCTCCATCCCCACTCCCCAGCTATGTTGTAGATGAGAGATTTTGGAGATCTCCTTTTGGTTCTAAGCATGGAAAGGGAGATTTAGTCTTTCCATTCCTAATGGTTTAACTGGATTTTCAACATAAATCATGCTCTACTTTTGATTTATAATATGAAACACACTCATTTTTTTTGGTCTAAAATACTTCAGAATTTTTTTATCTTTAAAGTCTTTCTTGTTGTTATACAGCAACAAGACCATGAACAAGATGCAATGACTCTGAATTAACATTTTCTTTGGGTGCAGTGCATTGAAGCTTAACTTATCTTCCGTTGTCTGTCTTTCTGCAGCAAGACAAAACTTCTTAAAAAACAGAACAATTGTAATAATATTCTGACAAGCCAAATTTTTAGGGTACATTGTCACAAAATAATACCTAAGAAAAAGTAGAATGGTTATAAAAACCTACTAATACGATTTAAAAACTCTTTGCAGGAGCTAGAACAACATACTATTAAAACTCCAAATACATATTCAATATGTATGTTTTTAAAGATAACTTCATAAATATGCAAATTTAAGGTAAACAAATACAGAATAAAATGCACTAAGAAACTGATATGTAGACAAAGGTTTATTTACACCATACAACATTTTAAATATTTTATACACAGTTGCAGCAGGGAAAGCTACTCTGAGCTTTCCAGAGAAAACTGCAATAATAAAGATGTGAAATATATTATTCATATAAAAGTGAGATTATTACTTTATTGCATTTAAAGCAATGAAGAATGTAGCTCAACAGACATTCATTTAATGACAAAAACTTTGCTTTTATATTATAAAGTAAAAAGTGTAGTAATGGCCAAACAGACTGTTATAAACTTTAAAAACTGCATAAATATATACATTGTGCTTCATGGTGAAGTTTTTTGAAAACTAAACCAAATGAAGCTGTTACAACATGAATCGTTGCTTGAGGTTTATCTATAAAGATTACCTTACAAATCCATTCCACGGGTACTTACAACACACGATGGTAAGAATTGTACACCTGGTTCTCCACTAGCCGCGCTAGTGGGAATATACTGTACGAAAAAACGCACTGACATTTGGCACAGGAAGAGCCTGACATAAAATAGTCACAATGTTCAGACAGGAGCGTCAGGATTCCCAAAGTCTCTTCATTGTCAGTGCAATGAATTATTTTTGTTTTGTCTTTGTTCTGTCCAGTTCATTTTCGGTTTTGTTAAACTTCTGTTTGGAAGTCACCTTCTTGCACATCTAAAGGCAAGTTCAGACACTTCTCCCATTCTGCTGGTCTGAGTTCTAAAGCATCTTTTGCCTCTGTGTCTAATACGTTTATCGTTGTATAGTGTTGGTAGTCGCCTGTAGTTTTGAAACTGTCCCATGGAGCCTTGCTTGGTGCTGAGTTCTCCTGAAGACCAAAGAAAGAAGAATTAAAACCAAGGTTGAAGTCATGTGTTTTTCACTTACAGGGCTGATCATTAACGTGCTCTCATGAGACACAGAAGCCTGAGAGGTGAAATGGCTTTGCAGGGAGCCAGGCTGGCAGGTGTTCAGCACCATTGCAACTCTTTCTCTGTGAACAGTCAGCTCTTTGGCAGGCTCCTCACCTGAGCTGCCAGCTAAGCCCTCTCTTTCACAAGAACCAACGTACATGAGGAATTGCTGAGTGATCCAGTACCGATAGCCATCTTTTTAATAGTGGTTGTGTGGAAAAGTGGGAGAGGAGAAGGGAAGGTGATTGAGAAGAGCTTGATGCGTGAAATATGGAGTGGTTTGAAACAGAGATTGCCAGCTGGATTTTAAATGGGGGCAGATGTGTGACAGAACCACAGAAACCTACTCCTTGAAAATGCTGTGATAGCCACCTTGCTTTACAGGCTTATGAGCTCATGTATATTAGGATTAGCAGGCTGAAAGCTGGTTATTTTCTACTGAATGATTTTTTTTTTTTTTGATTGCTAAGTTTTATAGGGTAAAAGACATTATGGACTAAGACCAATTTAATTAGTGAGTTCTGCTGTAACATGTTGGATGGGACTTATTTGCTAAGATCTAATACTTTTCAACCACTTTAGATGCCTTTGGATTTTCTGCCTGACCTCCAACTGTCTTTCATGAGAGGTATAGGTCTCCTTTGAGTCCTGTGTTATCACTGCCTGTATTGTGCTGTAGACTAAGGCACCTGAGACTGTCTAAAATAGCCTGAGATGCCTATATTTAGGTACCTGGATCACTCTCTGACTGTCTTACAGATAGACCATTCCTCTAGGCAGCTTTTATTAGCAGACCGTTCAAAAACATAGCACCAATGCATAACAGAATAAACACAACTCTTCCACTGAGATTCCCTTTGAGATTTTGAATTAATTCAAGCTTTACATGGACAGCAAATCTCAAACAGGGAGGCGAATGTGAACTTTACATGTCAACAAATCTCAGAAGGGGGAATGAGCAAGAACTGGGTGCAAAATAACACATATGACAGTTAAACGTTCATCAAAGAATCAGGGCCAAATTTCTGCTGGATTAAGATGATGTAAATGATGTAAATCCATTGGCCTCACATCTGCTTAATACCTCTTCTTCATGTCTGAGAGCAGCTCTGAAAAAGTTATAGAATACAATGATTCTAGCTCAGTTTCATTTAATATACAGTTTTAACATTAAAAAATTATATATAAATTATTACTAATCATAGTATTACCATGAACAAATATGTCATCCTAAATTAGCTGTTTTAATTAGGCAGAATCAACTGTTTCCTTGCTCTCATTATCAGATGTAGTTAGGGTGTTAATGCATGTGCCTATGAGTGTTGTGTATAAATTTGAATTATGATGATGGAGTCAACTCTGGATGATTTAATTTTTGCTTTTCCCATGGTAAATATTTATAAACCTATTATAGAGAAGACACAGCATTACAGAGACCCTGTGTGTGTTCTTGACTGCCTCACGTATAGGTGAATCTAGCTGGACTTGTTTGTAGTAACTAATTTAATATCTGCTTGCCTAGCTAGGGGAAAAGCCCTATTGGTCAAATTACATTAGTGAGCTGCTTTCTCTATATCCTTTAGACTTGGTAAGCACATACAAATTGGAAATGTGTTCCCTACAGTTCAATTACTTGTCATCTATAATGATGTGAATGAGTTAGTTATCATCTAGTTGTAAAATCCAATGAGTCTCGTCATAGGCTACATTACTGAAAATATCTTTTTTTTTTTTTTTCCCTAATTTCTGAGGCTATCTAAAGGTAGAGCAGAGTGAGGTTTTCTCAGGAAATATACAGAATTCAAAGGACTCTTGTTTCATCGTTGTTGCTTAGGATCCATTATATTTTAAATATCTAAGAGGAAAACTTACCATACTGCCTGATTTTGGTACATCCCGAAATCTGTCCAACGTCTGAAATTTCTGATTTAACTCTTGAAACAATTCCATGTGTCTCTTTCTTGTATGCATGACCTTCTGCAAAATGGAACATAATTGCTTATATTTATAATTGAATCTGGGCTTTTTTTTAAGGGAAGAATTATTTTCTCCAACATAATAAAGTAAATTGAATTTGGCAGGGCCATCTTTTCCCTGTGGACTTGATCAATGGATGTGAACTGCACTGAGCCTTCTCTCTGCTTTGTTTAATGTTCTTCCTGTGTACAAGGGATTGCTTTTACTCCACATTCATTGAGCTGCTGAAATTAAGGGAAGCTGGTTTTGTGCTAGCCTAGAAGTATTTTGAAAGAGATGGCAGTTTCTTAGAAGAATATTTTTCTTGCACACATAGGAATATTTTCTAGAATTTATGTTCTTAGCATGGACGCTAGTATTTTAATTTCTGTAGGAACGAAACAGCAATTTGTAATGGTCCCCCAGACTAAATTTTAGGAGAACACTGAACTCGGGAATATTGGCCCAAAATGGAAAAGCCACAAATGTTATGCCTTTTTAATCAGATGTCTTCTTGTAATTTAGTTCATCATGAAATTCACTTGAAATGGCATTCCTATTAAGAATCATAGGTATAGTTCTACGATTTTACTTGTTTGCTTATGCCATGGACTGGACAATTGGAAACCACCCTCCCTCTAACCCATGCACTAAGTATTTTTCCACAAAAACTAATTATATGGCAGCCTCCTGCAAGAGATGGGGATCCAAAACAGCCCCCGCAGTTGGAGGAAACCCTTGGCCATGTATCTGCCTTGACAGCTACATGGAGAGTGAAGCCTGTTTTCAAGTCCAGACTGTCAAGTCTAACATTTGCATTGCTTCCAAACCATTCACGCTCAAGTACGGATTCAGACAGGCCTCTGGAGCAAAACCAAAGGCTACTTCTTGTTCAACCAATCTCATAATCCTGTGGTCTGGGTGGACAGCGGACAGCAGGGACTGAGGCTGGTTCACCTCAGTCCAACAGCAAACGGGCTCAGCTTGGCTTTTCTTAAGCTTTTGTAGCTGCTTGACCTTGAATTACGGGCAGGACAGCAGCCCATAACATTGGTAGAAATGGTTCAGGACACCAACATCTATGCACACCCACTAACTGTCAAGCCTGATTTTCCCTGGTGTGGTAAGTGACAAATCCTGCAAACTTACATGCAGAGTGGCTGAGCGTGACCCTTCCCAGCAAGCAACGCTTCCGCCAGGTCTGGAGTAGTCCCTTTTAAAACGCAGTGGCAGTAGCTGACCCTCAAACAGTGCTTTACCAATACTGATTTTAATTTTTATTTTCTATGTGCATTCTGTGTGTATAAACGTCATGAAGCATGGCTGTTTGCACGGCCATGCATTTCTACCCCTATGCTGTTAATAAGCATATCATCCTTAATAAATATCATCCTTAAAGCCACACCATAGCTTGAGGACCTTGTTTTGCTCCTGAGAACAGGAAATTGGCAACATTATTCGCAAAAGAGACTTGAGATATGTCAACCAATTAAAGATCTGTTAACTTAATGTGAGTTGTGGGGTGTATAAGGGAAACAATTTTGCAGGATCTGGTGAGGAACTCCTTGCAAAACATAATTTAATTAGAGACAGAGGATCTAAATTTATGAGGGAAGTTTTACTTAAGTGACTTCCCAGGGATTCTTTTAAGCTATTCCTGTTACAGTAGGCAGGGATATGTATCAAATTTCAAATAAACAGAATTTAAAAAAGAAAGGTTTTGCCTCTAAAATTATTATTGGCTGAAATAAGGAGAAATGCTGAAGGGAATAAAACAGATTTGGTGGGTTAAAATATTGGCCCTAAAACCAGGAAATAGCATATGACTATGAATCAAGTATCTCCCGTTGGAAACTTTTTAATAAAAGGCTAGGAATATAGAGAATGCTACTTTCTGGTATTATTCTGAATCTTGTACCAAATAACTCATTAAATAGCAAATATGAACAATGCAAATGCCTGTCTTAGTTCATTACATTATTCCTGGGTAGAAGTAGGTGGGAGGAGAAATCAAATACTTGCAGTGGGAATTCTGGCAGAAAAAAAAAAAGGCTTTACCTTTTATTCTTAATAGTAGAATGACTGGTATGCACATGTACCTATGGCTTTTTTGGTTGCTTTGTGTTTTCCTGGCTTCCATTCCATAATTCCTACACACTGACACCCACCCCTCCCCACTGCTTGTAAAGAACAGTCTGAACTTAAGGTGCAGTAACTTAAATTTCCAACTATTCTTTTGTAGCCTTCTTTTGCATTCCTTGTTAGAGAGCACCATCTTATCTTCTTTCTAGAAAATAAGCTCTGTGGGTAGCTCTTTCTCTTTTATGAGAAAGTAGCCCACAAAATATTTGCGGTGGTTTAACCTGTTTTTTTCTATTCAATGGGCAGTGTGGAAAGCAGCTTTTTCAGTCTTAGAAATGAATAAGTTTTATCAAAACAGACCTGGGGATCTTGTCCAGTATATACTAGGTTGATTGCAGTAGTATCAGAACCTTTAACAGGATGGAAAAGGAGCTTCTTAAGCTGCTCTTTGAAGGCACACCTTCTTTAGGTGCAGCTGAGGACTTGCCCACTAATGCCACATCCCCTCCAGAAACGCCTGAATTAGCCACCAGGCTACAAACATACATCTTGTTGTGGTCTTTCCTGCAATTTCTGTAACTTTTGTGCCTCACACATTGAAGGGAGTCAGACTGAATTGACACCCCTTCCACCTCTGTGCCCCTACTCACAAGTAACATCAGGTTAATTGATATTGATATAAAATATCAGTATTTGAAAGTACTAAGCCTTACTCTGCTACGTAGCTGCTCTCAGAGGAGGATTCAGAGTGCGGGTGGCTATCATCAAGCTAGGAAAGACTTCAAACATAACTCTGTACCCAGCTCCCTCTTTTATTTATGATAGGGTTTTAGCTGAAATCTACCACAAGCACAAATATTTTCATGAAGATCTGTGGTCAGTCTTACAAACAACAGTAATAATGGTGATGATAATATTAATAGTAATGGTAATAATGTCATTCAATTTGCCTCAAATTTTTTCTATATTGCCACAGGTAAAAATGCTCTCTCTCAAATATTGTACAAAACAGCTAAATGAAAACAACAGATGGGGGAATGCCTTCCCGGCCCTGCAACAGATACATGCTGTGTTTTCAAGATGTTACAGGTATGATCAGTTGCCAAACTTAGGAACGGGAAATTTTTTTTTCCCTGTAGGCATATTTTTTTTCACTTTTGTCTTTGGGAGGTGTCTTCAGTTTAGTAAGAGAACAATTTTAAACTTTTGTGTGAGTTTGTAATGTTGTTATGATGAATAGCAATTGCAGATGACATTCTGAAAGAATGAAAGAAAGCAATTAATGATCAGTTTAGTGTTATTGCTGGTGAGAGTCTACTGCTCTGTGGAAAGAAAAGATGACATTCTGGTATTCACACGTCCTGTGCATCCTTGCTCTTCCTCATGAGTGGAGTACAAAAACAGCCAAGGATGATGAATCCTGGGGAGTAGGCTAATAAGGCACTTTTCTGAATTATCTTGGCATAAATGGTATTACTAGAGTAGATCCAATGAGTGCCTCATAGAAAGGGGACACTGGGGTGGATGGCTGGGAAAATCCAGGAGTCAGACCCTCTCATAGAATTTAAATGTAATCGTGATCTTGAGTCCTAAAATGTATGTCAATAATGCTGTTTAACTCTCCTGTATGCTTTTGTGACAGCACACACCTACTATAAAGTCCTCCTGAGAATTTCCGTAGCATCTGTATTTCTGTTCAACATAATTAGAATGAATTTTATTTGATCTGACAGCTAAGTATTAGTGTTGAGCCTTATTAAACTACCTGTCCAGCTTTAGGGAAAATCAGAACATAATGAATGGGGTTCGAGGGCACTTGGCTGGGGTTACCACAGCCAGCAGCAGCAAGGATCCAAAATGCTCAAAACTACAATTTTGGTCATGCTTTGGACATTGGACTGCATAAATGCGTCTAAACTAATCCTTGGTAAGAGCAAGAAAAGAGCTGTAAAGCTGTTGCATGTTGACTGTTCATTTTATCAAACTTCAAAGTTCAACCAGGTTAGTCAATGTTTTGCAAAATCTAACAGCGGACAGTATGTTATGTACCAGAAATATTTTCTGCCTACAAACTTCAACCCAGTATATTACAGTCTTTTGTCCCACATAAAGGGCTAATTTAAGACTGTAATTGTAAACTATTTAAAAAGGAAAAACAAGATACAGAGTTCTTGAAAGCCTCCTCTCTAATCAGCTTAGGATCTATGACAAGGGCTGTCCTGTTTGAATGTCATCTTTTACTCTCTCCCTTTCCTTTGACTAGAGACATAAATTTTCTCTAACAATACCCAGCACAGTCAGAGGATCTTTATTTTTTATAGTGCATTGCAAAAGTCCTTAAAACTACACCTACATCTCTATATATACTCGAGATAAAAAGGACAGAGAATATTTTGTGGTGTTGGGTACAGTCATAATCTGCCTGAGTTCATACTACACAGCAGCTGGCTTTGAGCGTAATCTGTGGCCCTAATAAGAAAATTGTTTTTCTTGTATTTCTTTGGTTTTACTTCAAACTGTCTTTATTAAGGTGAGTGTTGCATTTCAGCCCACTAGCAAAGTCTTTTTTTTTTTTTTTTAACTATGAAACTGTGAGTCTACAGTAGTAAGTCAAACATGTCCAAGACCATTCTCTGGCACCATCTAGCATGGAATGTTCTTCATGAATGCTACTAAGTTCTTTTAGTACCTAAAATAAGAAGTCTACAACTTGCAACAATACAAATTGCTTATTGTGAATGGCACCTAGGTTGTACAAGTTCCCTAAAGACATTTCAGGAACTGTTGCGAGACACAAGGGTGGTCCAGATTAAAATAGTGAAGATCATTCAAAAATAAACATAAAACCTGACATTTTAGCACCAAGGAATATTCCCCCCAAAATGTCTAATTTAGTACAGTAGGCACAAGCTAAGGGTTTGTCTTGTATGCATACAGAGAAAAAAGTATGAGAGGTTGAAGGGGTAAAGACTGTTAGGAGAGTGTTAAAATGAAAAGGACGGAGGGAGCCAAGCTTGACAGTTTTGTCTGTACTGTGTATTTAACATTTTTTATTCTCAGAATCACACCCACAGCATTTGTTAACCTGAGAACTGTGGGGAGACATTGTCTCAGAGAATGCCAGCTGGCACTATCAAAGACAAAGAAGAGAAAGTTTTAAACATTTAAGTAGTATGTCCAATCACTCTAGCTCAGCCTCATCTCCAGGCTCTATTCTATTTTGCAGTCAAGCTGCTTTGAGGTATCAGAATAGTACTGTTTTGGCCACACAGCACTACCGCAATTCCCTTCATCAGGATGTCTTGCTGAGGGAAGGAGTTTGGGTGGCTATTTGAACATTTTATAGCTTCTTTATTTTGTTTTACCTTAGATAGACAGCCATGCTCTGAGTAAGAACATGGGAAAACCCACAGGCTTAATCAGAGGAACCATAAAACAGGGAGGTGAGATGGGGTTACTTTGAGTCAGCACTTCTAAAACACAGCAGCAATCAGCACAGTATCATTGCCACTCTCTTCTCCTCACAAGTCACCCCCAATGGTCCCATCCTTCCCTTTTTATGGACAAATATACTTTCCTGCATTATAATGATACTTCTAAAAATACTAGGTGGTGGAGCAATAATGTTGCAAACAAGGCATGAAAAATGTGTAAGCATCTTAAAAAAAACTATGTGAGTCAAAATAAAATATGTAATGGGAGGACTGGTTTTTGAGACCAGAATGAGCACTGCATTGTTGGTGTTTATTTTGTGCTGGATTACACTCTCTTGAGTGTTAGGAAGAATATTTTAGTATTTGTTGCCACAGAGAAAGTTCTCATTGTGAATGGCATGATAGTCCTACTTTTCAACAAGAAACAGTAAAAATTAGAATTCTTTATATTAATATAATTATAAAATTTCCAGTTATATTGATTGAATTTCATTTTTGAACTGCTTGCTCTTCAAAATTCTGTTGTTGATTCATGTTTTTCTTCTTCCTTTCTATGAATTTATCCTAAAGCATATTAAGAGCCATCTTTTATTTTTATTTTCCTTAAACATACTGTGTAAATCTTTGACTGGTGCATTATTTGAGATGTTACATGATGGCTTAAGGTAGCTATAATTTCTGGGGGACAATGACAAGAGATCAAGGCTTGAAGTTAACCTACCAAGAAAGCACAATCAGAAGGTCAGCATTTCAGTAAAAGCAGGTTACCACAGCAAACTCTTCTCTCATTGCTAGGTTTCTATGACCACTATGGCTGCATTTTGCTAGTTCTGCCTCCTTCTTTCCTATGGACTAGAATCTGAAATCTGAAAGTACATGTGCTGTGCTTACAGCCCAAATAATAATTAAAAAATTGCTTTGGTTTGTGCCTGCAAACAAACATGGTAATTTATCATCGATATGTACTGGTAACTGGATGTTAAAGTTTAACACAAGATCTGTGGGTTCCATGCAAATGTTATGATTGTTCAACTTCTCTGGAGACACACATAATGATTTATATAAAACTATTAATATACATGAACAGACAACCTATGCAAAACCCCCAAATCCATAAATTGTTAACATCCCCTTGAAATCTAACTGCTGTGTTACTTCTGGTAGAGAGTAGAGAAAAAAAGAAACAACCCTAAAATAAAACTCTAAGAGACTAAATCACACTGACTGAGATAGAACTAAATGGTCATTAACTAACACAATCAAACCTTCTCACTCAATGAAGTCTAAGTCTGAAAGCCTAAAGAACCTTACATAAAGTTAGTCTTCACATAGCATATGATCCATAAGCTTTGACAACTGCAGCACTTCATTGTTCAAAATCTGACACATCCATAACCACGGTTTGGATGTGAAACTCCAACCCACTGTAATGTAGCCTGTCCTACAGAAGTGTCACAGTTTTTCAGCAGATAGCCAGCAAAAAAAAACCAAAACCAAACCAAAACCAAACAAAAAAAATATCAGATGAAAATGAAGAGGGAGAGACTTTAAAAACTGAAACCATGATGGTTAATATTGCAATGTGAAAGTTTGACCTCAGAATATTTTACGAACAAGTTGCACCAAAGTAGTTTTAATGAATTGCTCATCATGTTCTGTACCATTTGAAAAAAAACTATGACATCCACTATGCCAGAAGGCTAAAATCCGCTAAAATGAACACATTTACTTTTAGGAAAATACTTCTAATAATCAGGAATAATTTAATAAAACTTACTTCAAAGTCAAGGTCCGAATAACGTGATTTTCTTCTCTATTAAGCAGTAAAAAAGAAAGAAAAAAGAGGTTGTATTAACAAGGGAACTATTCACCATATCATATTAATGAGTCTAAATAACATTCTTGTTTTCCTATCAGATATATATTAGGTATTCTGTAAGAGGTTGTAGATTTTATCTTGATAATTTAAGATTAGTGCGTGACTTTGCATACAGTTTGAGTGGTATCTTATTGTTTTTTTCTGAAATAAATCAGACTGCAATTCAATGGGATGCATAATGTGCATATTATTTGCATGTAATTGGATCTTTTGGTGCATAAAATATATACTTTACATCATCATAGTTATACTTTTTACACAGCTATCAGTTTCAACTTTTTATAAGTATACAGGAATTGATTCTTTCCTATATCAGGTTTACATTGGTACAACTCCATTGATATTGATGGAATAAATGATAACAAAATCGAGCTGAAGCCATGTACACTTTCCATGGCTTCAGCTTGTTTGTTTGCAATGAAAATTTGGATGGAGAAAGCAATGATTTTATTTTACACTTATGACAAATCTGATTCAAAGCATCTGATATAAAGCAAGAACAATTTACTAGTGATCACTCGTATACAATGCAGCAGAATATTGTGGCTTAAACATATGACAATTAATTTAGTGCAGATTTTTTTTACAGATTCTAAAAGAAACCAATTGTAAAGTCAAATTATATCAGAAAGAAGCAGAACTATTAAAATATAAATATGTCTTTTTTCTCCTAAGGTTGGAAATTGGATGGCTTGAAATAGACAGGTGTAGAAACAAGAGTTTGAAGAGCTGAAAAAGAGTGCAAAGAACATGTGAATGGAAAGAAAAAAAATACATTCTCCTTCAGGAAGGAGAGGTAAAGGTAGGGGAAAGTACCCCAAGAAAAGAAAAAGGCTTACTGCTACAATTTAACCCTCATTTTTGTGGTAGGATAGAGTGGATTTAAGTTATAGTGAAAGAGCCTTTTCAAATTGTTGCTAATTTCTGCAGCAAGACACAAATCAAACCCATTAATTCAAGATTAATAATGTTACAGTCTTCATTAGACTTTGATTTTATTTGGTTTTACGAACATACAGGTTTTAGTAAGCTGTTTCATTTTCTTGCAATTGAAATAAATAATTTTACAAGTCTTTCAGCTGTGGGAAGTGGAAGATGTTTGGTCTCTGAGCCTTTGATAATACCACTTTGTGAACATATTGCCTGGTTTTGTAGTAAAATATTTATGCTCCAATCCACAATAATATGAAGAACATCACTGTAGCACTGTCGACACACTCTGATGCTTAAAGAGCTGGGAGGCACCATAAAAGAACAATATAATACACTTAAAATAACCACCAACAAGCTTTGGAGAATCTGTCTTTAATCAGTAAGGCCTGACTTAACCCAGCACACTTTGAAGAAAGTATATAAGAATAAATTCAACAATTCTGCAAAAATAAGTATCATAAAAACATGAAACATAGGTCTTGATGGTAAGAAAAACATGAGGACATTTATGCCCAAATTCTTAAAGCAGCTAAGTTCTTACTCCTCACTCACATTAAGAGGACCATGGTAATAGTGTACATTTGACATGCGCCTTCATCATGCCACAGTAAATCAGCACCTGAATAAATCTACATATTTATAAGGCAGAATGATCTATTTTTAAGGTGCAATTAGATCACATTGTAAAAGCTCAATGGTTACAAAAGAAGAAACATGTACAGCATGGGTAGTTTTGAAAAATGTATTTGAAAAAGTTATATTTAAGCTACAGTTCAGTAATAAACTTGGTATAACTGACTGAGAACATTAAGTGAAAATGTGGAAGACGTGTAGTTTGTAGGTATTGTGATTTATAAAATTGGAGCTTTTATGTTTTTCCTTAAATCTGCCTGATGACAGTGAAACTATTCCTGGCATAGCTGGATTATTATGCTTTGCAGCCAGACAACCCTATCCCTGTTTACATGGTAAGAAGACATATCCAACAGACTGCAATATATTTAGCTGTGCTATTGTCAGAAAGAGTTAACTATTATAATTCTGCTGTTAGATCACACCAGTTATGACCAGATAGGTCATACTACAGGTTTGTCTCAGCGAGGATTTTTCTATGGCTCAACAGGAATCTATCACAAACACATTTATTTTAAACATATAGTAAAGAACATCTGTTCTGTGCTTGTGCTTCACTTTCTTTCACTGATAAACTAAGCGGGTGTGAGAAAAATCTGAAAAGTTGTAACTCAGAAAAATTAGAAAAAATAAAGGAACTTTCAAAGATGCTGTCAAGGATCAATAAAGGTTATGTAACTGCACAATAATCTGCTGTGGTAAACAGTGGAAGCCCTTCACTCTAGTCTTGAGAGTGAAGTTTGACTATATATTGGAGTAAATGTGATGTAGAAAATGTTCTTGCATTGATAGAAGAGATGACCTGACAAGGTTTTTTCCATCTGTGATTTCTGCAGCTCTTTGATCATAATTGATAAAATCCATTTTACAGAAAAAAACAAACAAACAAACAAACAAAACACCAAACCCATCTACCTCTCATGCCCGCCAGGACCAAAGTGAAATTCTGCTAAAAGGTCTGCAGTAGTAATTTATTTAAAATCAATTTTACTTTGTACTATCACATATAGCTTCTCTGTGTAATTCCAGAGCAACTTTAAACTCTGCTCACTGAGGGACGAAAATAGAATACTGAAGAATAATTTCCATACACCAGCATGCACTAATCCAATGGTACCAGGACAGAGCTGCTCTCAGTAAATGACTAATAAAATCCCTCTCTGTCTCTGTAAAACAACAAATGCCTGGTTTTCTCCATGTCCTAATATGCATTACACCACTACCTGATTAATTATATGAGATACTCCTGAAGATATATCGCATTGTGCAAAGTATAATTGAAACCAGAGATACTATATTATAGTGAGGGCTATAACCATACTTCCATTAATATAAGGCCTTATTATCAGCAGTTTCTAATTCACCCTGAGATTAGATTTGACATACAAGATCTTAGCCTGGGGAAGATTTTTTTCCCTGAAAAAAACTTAAAGTATTTTTTTTGGGGCCTCAGAGATGTAAAATGGGAATGTGGATAGACAGTTTTGATTTAAAATGCCTTTTGTGTGTATCTAACTGAAAATCCCCTTGGTTTCTGAGTAGAAGATTATGTTGGCCATTAGTACATCATATGAGTTAGACATAAAGCAAGCAAAATTTCATGAAAAAATGGATTTGCTCTTCAATGTGGCAGTTTTAAGTCTTTACGCTAGCAAATTTAGCACATCAATGCACAGCACAAATGTAACTTCAGAGATCTCAATTTAAAAGTATTCTGGCAAAGTATTCTGTTTTGCCACTCCCTGTTTTTTTATAGGGTAACCTGCATGTGTATTTACTCAAAAAACAACAATTGTTTTGTGTTTCTGAAGACTTTCAGGGGAAAAGAAGCATTTCTAAGTGAAAAAAACAATTGAAAATATGTTTCTTAAGGAACATATGTAGCTAAGATAGCTGCTTATAATGTAAAGACTGAAATATATGCTACACTTCATAATGCTGAGTAAAATTTTGGTTCTTTACATCTTCAGTTGCTAGAATCAGCTCTGCCGGATTCTACCCCACTCCTGTATGGTCATATGAACGTAAGCTGCAAGAATTTCTAAAGTCAGAGCAATCTAAGACCTACTCATTCAAGTGAAAGAAAGAGGGTGGTTTTAGGGCTTTATTTCACTGCAAGTCACAAAATTGGCAAGAACTGTCTCCACAGCTTATTGAAGAATGAAATGAGAAATAGGAGGGAGAGAAACAGGATATACAGAATGCATGAAAATAAATGCAACGTGGAAACATGAAAAAGGGAAATTCCTGTGCTGCTGGTGTCTATATTTTTATTTTTATTTTTCTCCCTTTCTTCCCTCTCTCCTTCTCGTATCATAAATCAAAATGACTTCACACCATTTTGTTTTTGTCCTGCCTGATGCTTTGGTACTTTATTGACAAGACTGACTATTTTAACTGCATATTTCTTCTCTCTTCTAATGTGTTTTTGTTTGTTTGTTTGCTTTTAAATATATTTTTTTTTTAGATTTTGCTGCTCTCCTGGTGCTTTTATTTCATTCTCCCTAACACTTATTTTAAGCTGCTTCTCCATTTCTGCCATCTTTCCTCCCCCCTTTATTCAGCATGCCTGTCTGTCTTTCTCTCCTCCTTATATCTTTTCCTTTTCTTTGCACTTCAGGATCTTTTATCTTCTCAGCTGTACCGATTTTTTCCCCAAGTCCTATATCAGAGATTTGTCCAAGGAGCTCTGGAGTTGACTTTCTTTAAATGTTTTAAGGGCTCTCATGAATGGAGATGAATTATTTTGGCCACACAATCAACTTCCCCTTTAAAGACTTTTGTCTTTCTCCATATAAAGATCTCAGCAGAAATTGAGACAAAAAAATAAAGAAAGAAGATATGAGACTGGAAAGAGAATTCCAGTCCTTTACATGGCAAACAGTTTGGAAAATCCTTTCCTTGTTGTTCTTGCAAAGTAGATTAAATTTTTTTCTCTTCTCTTTGCATGCCCTTTCTCTGCTAAGAGTTTACTTAAGGTCTTTCCCATTTCTGCTCACTACAATAACCATAGTTCCCTCTTCTTCCACAAAAGTAATGATGTAAGTCTCCTCCCACAGTCAGGCAGCAGGTATCTACCCCCTGTTGTACTTTTTTTTTTTTTTCACAATAAAAAGAAAAGAATGACTTATCTTGGAGACAAATTGCACCAATCATCTTATTCTGCATTTAAACTTCATTTCCTTGCATCTAAGTGGCTGGGAATGCACAACTTTGCTTCCAAGTAATTTCATTTTAATGAGCTCCCCACTCCAACTGTACACTTGCAAACCAAAAGCATTTCAAAAAAGTGTATTGAGAGTGTTTTCTTCATTAAAATCAAAACACTTGGAACTGAAGAAGCACACTCCAAGATACTTTGATGCCAAGGTAGCAAAGCCAGTTTTAATCCAAGCGTATATGAGAAGTACAGGAGATTAGCCAGATGTTCAATTACTCCTTCTAAGAAATTGTGATGTACTAGTATGTCTGTCTGTGTCTATAATTGCATGACTACTCTTGTGTACATCACAATAAAATAAAAAATCACTGACTTGTGCATTGGGAATCTGCAGACCCTTAAATTTATACTTATTTGGGTGATGCTTGTATGTAAACATTTTGGCATTCTCAGACATTCAGAATTCATTTCTGTTGAAAGCTGAAATTCTTCCCCATATAATAAAGCATTTGATTGTTCCCAACTAAGCATTTTATCAATAAAGAAATATTCAGATATAAAAACTGGAACAAAGTATGTGACACATAGAATCATAGAATCAGAATCTGATGTAGGATTCATCCAACCAAATTTAGGACATAATGTTTTTGATGTTGATTTTGGAAGTACTCATTGTAGCTTCCTCTATGGCAGCTGAAGAAACCCACCTGCACAGATGCATGTGATTTACTTCGTCCTGGAGCACATGCCTAGAAGAGGTCTGGAAGTAGCTATTTCTCTCTATTGACTCCAAACTGGAGCCAAATGTGGAAAGCTCTCTTTTCATATCAGAAGATGAATGCCTCCATATAGACATATAAGGGGTAGGTGTGACAGATCTTCCCTATAGATTTAAAGGTGTCCATTTGAATGAACATGTATTGTTCTAAGCGTTGATTGAATACTAAAATGTGCAAAATACAGAAAATAATTGATTTTATGAAGTTAGGAGGGTAAAGATGCTGCTTAAAAGCTAAATTTTTCTTTGAATGGTACTGTATATACTTCTGAAAACTGGTTCCTTGAAACACAATACTCTAGTGTTTTACTAGTAAGATGGAAATGAAATTTTAAAGACATAATTTTATTCTACAATGGGAAAAAAATGTAGTGTTTCTATTTTCCAAAGTTTCTGTTTTCCAAAGTTTCTGTTTTTCAAAGTTTCTATTTTCTAGCTCTGCTAGTTCAATTTTATGGCCACAAAGTTTAGCATCTACCATAAAATGAGTGAACAAATAATTTTGCATATATGTCAATATATTGTACTTTACAGGGTGTCTAGTTGCACACAGTTATGCCTGCAGTTTTTTGTTTCTAAAGGTATTTGTGCGTTCATAATTGCACTTCTGAAATCAGAAGCTGGGTTGGATCTTGGCTGAAAATCATGAATCACATGATCTCTTAAGGCATTCTGATAAGATGATAAATTCTCTAACAGCTGCTTAAGCTACTCCCATTATTATGTTCTTAATAACTATTGACCATAAATGTAAAACAAAAAAAAAAAGATGAATTGTGTTAACACAGGCCACAACTGCCTAAGTGCATTATACTTATGTGATAATTGGTAGTGTATAATTCTTTAAAAAAAATAATAGTAGTATGCTAATTCCAGAGAAAGCACCTGGAAACGTAAATTGGAAAACAGTGGAGGAACCCAACTCCCTGCAGTATGCAGAAGACACAAAAGGACGTCTCCACCGCCTGTCTTGGGACACCTCTGTTTCTTCAGAGAAGTGAAAGAAATGCCCCTATAGAGCAGAAAACTATGCACTTTTATGTTGGACTTCAGGTGGGACAGCAGTATGACCTGACAAGTGAAGGAGGCTTCCTACTGCTCAAGATCTCCTTTGGAGACGGTCTAGTCATGCTCTGTACAGGAAAATATGGGCAGAATTGTCTTGAATGTCCTGTTGCAGGTTTTGCTGCTCCATAGTGTCTGACAAAGTCTTGGCTTTTGAAAAGTCCTGAAATCTTCTAAAATTCTACTGTGCTGGATGTCAAAAATATTTTGAAAAAAATGCCTTGTCCTCCCTTCTTTGGTTATGGCAGCAATAAAAGTTAATCCAGCTGGCCAGTTTTATCCAATTGCATTTTGGGCCTTTAACTTCACTCATGCTTCTTACACACTGCATACAGAATACCACAATCACATCCTTTATCTGGCAGGATCTGCTTATCTGGATCTGCCTGAAACCCTGATTTTCTCCTAAGTACAATTTTTTTTTTCATGTTCCTATCTTCAATTCATTGTAGCACAACCTTATCAAAAGATGAAGTAATGCTATATAATCAAGCAGTTTTGAGAACCACAAAGGCAGACACAAAAGCCAAAAGAGTTCCTTTCATTTCTGATCTGCCCTAATATCTGCTTTTTTCCTAATACATGCAATTATGCTGGGTTCAGTTGGGTTTAATAACATAACTCTTTACAGCTTTCTGGACAAAAATGCATCTTTCTGAACTTAATACGTTTACCAAGTTAGAAAAGACTAAATATTTTCTACATTTTGTTATATTTTATTACATTTTCTACTGCATACTTAGTGGTTTCTTCTGAGCAGAAAAATTATATAAGAATGGTGATTTAGGCTTGGTATCTATATCCTACCTGAGACACAAGCTTAAAATATAATACAAATACAGTTAAAAAGAAGAACTCTAAAGGAGCAATACATTATACCATTATCCTCATAAATTTGTCAGGCAGATTTTCCAAAGTGGTCTCAGGAACTGGAACTCTATGTAATATTCAGTAATGATTGTCCCAGTTTTTACAACTTGAGTAAGGTGTCCCTTTTTAGGTCTCCTATATGGCCTTTATCACCAATGAAAAGAAAAAGGCACCACCAGTGAACAATTTAGATGTCAGGTGAAGTGGATGGTATGGTGGCAGGTATATATATTTTCTCAAGGAAATATGAAACTTCACTAGATACCCATATGTCTAATATTAATCAGGCTGGACTTGAGTCTCTGTATATTAAAAATTATGGTATCTGAAAGATGATATTGTATATAGGTAGGAGAGGATACTACTGGAAAGTCACTTCAGCTATCCTGCTTCTGGGGTTGAATTAAATTTGAAAAGGACACATGCACCACCTAAGAGCTATTAACTAATATATATGAGGAGAGGGAAGTAACTTCTTGCTTTGAAAGAGCCTGTCTGTCCAAGCACAGAGTGCTCTTTTCTACTTATATTTTCTAAAGAATTCTGAAAATTTGTTCCAAGATTATGTTTGCCATAAGAAACAAAAAGTGGATGCTATTTTAATACTTGCAAAGCCCCACACTTCATTTTTCAATTAATTTATTCCAGTTAAATTATATCTTGTGAAAAGATTACGATAGTACATACACAATTTAAAAAGAAAATGAAATATATTACTTTCAAAGCTTATAAAGTTATTCCTTGAAATAAAACTCTTACATTCTTCTGCCCAAACTCTAGTCAAGATACTCATAAAACTTGAACTTTACTTCAAAATAAATATCAACAAGTATTTCCTATTCTATGAAACGTTAGCTAGAGTTTTGTGTCCAACAACTGAAAATCAGGTAAAGTCAGTCCTTCCCTACACAGAGGGGTCCAAATACTGCAGTGCAATGCCTAATGGCTTCAAGTTTGCACATACAGTAGAATTTTTTCCCATATGTAACTTCTTTCAGAGAATGAGTAAGTCCTATGTTTTTCTCATTTGTCTTTTTCTTTCCTACTGAACACTACATTCCATGCCATTTGAGATGCTGCTGAAATATATTTCCTGTTCTTAAGAAGGCCCAAGTATGAAATAAGTCCACCTCACTGGTGGTTTTGCTTAAGTAAAAAACAGGAATGGGAGTATTTGACACTTAGGTTTAAGGAATTATATAAACAGCTTTCCCTCTTATAAGTGAATTCCACACAGAGACTGTAAGCAATTAACGGAATCCCTTTACAAGGCTTTTCTGTTCACTTTTGTCATCTGACTGGAATCTAGGATACTCCACGTGCAGTTCATTTGTACCTACTGCACACCTCAGTTGTACCAATGCCTGCACACACATGTAAACTTGTATAGAAAATAAATTAGTAAATGGTGAGCTATTGGATGGAAGAATCCAAGATTTACACTAGTGAGAGTGGTTTACACTAGCGAGAGAATCAGACCTTTCATATCTGAGACAGATATGATTGTCAGCAATAAAATGGCAAATATTTTTAACAACATGTGCTTGCAGGTAGGGTCAATGATCATTTGTATCTTGCAGGAGTAGTTTTTCTTCTCTTAGCAGCACAGAATTTTCCAGTGGATTTTACCTGGTAGGTCATGAAATCCCCTGCAGTTGTCTGGAATGTTAAATCTCCAGAACTATACAGTTTCATACAGACTGGTTCTGAAACTTTAATTTTGTTTTCTAGGTCTAAACATCTCTGATAATAAGAGAAATATGAAGAGCAGTGTATGATCCAAAACAATAATTTATACTGAATTAAAACATTAGCTTCACCCCTTAGACACAAGGCACAATTTATTGTCTTATCATGTAATTAGAGCAACAGAGCATGCAATTTGTTTATACACTACTGACCTCTAAAGAGCTCATTGATATTGTGGATCCAGTTTCACTTCTTGATAATCCTGCAGTGTCATCCAGTTCTGAGGCAATGAAATTCTTCACTGCTGTGCGGGGCTCAAATGGTAAATTCTGCATATGTTCTTGGGGGGGAAGATGCTGGTCTAAATTGATATTAAATTGGTCCATTACAGAGGGGTTCATGTTGAACTCTGGATTAACTTTGTAGTGCAACAGTCTTTCATGAGGCAACGTATCCATGCCTATATTCATTTTGCTCTCATCTTTCAGTGATGGCTGGGTATTTACTGAGCCCCGGGGCATGACTATATAGTCGCTTTCTATCATCCGTTCTTGAGGATGGACTATGTCCATATCTGCACCTCTCAAATTATCATCAGTGCATAAATACACAGTCCTCCGCAACTCGCTGTTGTCTTTTTTCAAGCACTGATTGGCCAGTTCACTCATACTCATGGGCATATGGAGGCCTGTTGGTTGCTGGATAATGACTTTGGAGATGATGTTTCCAGGCAAGGTGGAATAGCTCATTCCTTCAGGGTTTGGTCCCTTCTCTTCCTCTTCATCATTTAGTGAAATTCTTGAAAGTGTTCCTGTTATGGTAGCTGCTCTGCAAGGTCCGATGTCTTTATGTAGAACTGTGGGTCAGAGAACAGAATTCTTACAACATGAAATCATGGCTGCCTAACACTGCTTTTTCTTGTGGCTTTATTTAACAGCACTCATTTTACCAGTGCATCTTCTTAACTCATTTTCTATCCATTTAATAACTTTTTTTCTACAAATATTGTTTGGGGAAGGTGGTTTTTTTATTTTTTATTTTTTTTAATTAACATTGCTTAACCTACCGTGTTTAACTGACAGAGATCTCTAACTAAGCTTCAGTCATTTCTATAAACTAAAAATGCTCCTTAATTTATTACTACTATCTTACGTAGGTCTTAGGTAACCTACAGCTTAACCAGAAGCCTGCTATGTGGAACTCAATTAAGGTTTTTCCAAAAAAATACACTATGACATCTGTACTGCCATTATTAACTCCACATAACCTCCTGGAAAATGTCAAACAGATTGTAAGGCACAATAGTTTTGTAAAGCCATTGTAATGACCTACTAAAAGATTAAAACTACAAACTTGTGTTCCTGAGCTCCTTAATGTTCCTTTTCACTGACTTTCTTAAACTCTTCTGTGTTCAATTATTTTTTAAAGAAAAAAAGACAAAAAAGTAACCACATTGGGAAGAAATTCCACTGGTATTAGAAAGACATATTTTGCTGCATCTGAAAATATTATAAAGGATATAAACATGTTCATAAGACAGTCATAATCCACTTCTGGT